GTGTGTTTGTGTTTGTGTGTGTGTTTGTGTGTGTGTGTGTGTGTGTGTGTGTGTGTGTGTGTCTTCCAACAAAATGTACTTTCAAAAAATATTTGGATTTTTTAGAATCTCAATGTTGTTGCATTAGACATCCAAAAATCTGATCAAAATAGCACATGCACACTTTTCACAAAATTGGTGCACTGCAAAAACACTTTCTGACTGCAAAATATGTTCATACTGTAATGAGGTGAGCGCCACATGTGGTTACTCTGGTAAGGATGTGAAAACTTTCATATTATTTAAAATCAGCTAGTCTGTGGTTTACAGACGACAATGTTTACATGGAGAAGATAGTGATATCATTTTGAAACCCATTTTCAAAAGTTTGCTTTTCATGCCCCCAAAACAGAATTATCGTCTAAATGAACAATAAAGATTTTCTAAAAATTTTAAAAAAAATTCTAAAATTTTCTTACTTTGTGGGATATTTGTTATCATTGTCATACTTCAGAAAAATAACAATTAATGATGAATTGTGTTAGAAGAATAGCTGCATAGCATAAAAACACAAGGTCTTTATGTTTTTGGAAAGAAATTAATACATTTTATTCAGCAAGGATGCATTAAATTGTGAAAATGACAGCAAAGATTTCTATTTTAAATACATGCTGTTCTTTTGAACTAGCTATTCACCAAAAAAGTCCTGAAAAAAAGCAACATGATTTCCACAAAAAAAAAAAAAAATAGTAAGCAGCACAATTGTTTTCAACGATGATAAAAATAAGAATGGTTTCTTGAGCAGCAAATCAGCATATTAGAATGATTTCTGAAGGACCGTATGATACTGAAGACTGGAGTATTGATGCTGAAAATTCAGCTGTGCATCACAAAAATAAATTACATTTTACAATATATTAAAATAGAAAACAGCTATTTTATAACACTCATGATATACTGTTTTTACTGCATTTTTGATCAAATAGCCTTGGTGAGCATGAGATTTCAAAAACATTAAAGGGGTCATATGATGCGATTTCAATTTTTCCTTTCTCTTTGGACTGTTACAAGCTCTTGGTGCATAAAGAAGATCTGTAAAGTTGCAAAGACTAAAGTCTCAAATCCAAAGAGATATTCTTTATAAAAGTTAAGAGTCAGCCACACCTACCTAAAACAGCTCGTTCTAACACGCCCCCACATACCTACGTCGCTATGTGGGAAGATTTGCATAACGCCGCCCAAATGTTCACACAAAGAAAGAATGCGTAACTTTTATTCTCACTGTAGTATTGTTGTTTCCGCTGCCATGTCGTAAAGACGCTGTGTGCTTCGTTGTAAAAGCGAAACTGCTTTGTTTGGTCTTCCAAAAGAGGACGATATCTGCTTTGTCATGCCTGGAGCTGATCCGTACTGGTTGCTGAGGAAATACTACAACTTTGCGCTGTGGATCGCCGGATCGGCTTTCACCGTGGA